TCTGCCAGTGGATATAAAAGAGGGAATGTGGGTACTTGTTTAAGTGTTCAGTGCCTTGGCTCTCTGGTACACCAAACTTCTGGGTGAGCAACACCCTGTTGTTATTCACCACTCTTAACACAGGTTATGGTGAATTGTTAATAAAAGCATTTATTCATAACATGTAAAGGAGGCAACAGACTGAACAATATTCATAAAAATGTAAGTAATTTTAAAAAAAGAAAAGAAAAAGAAAAGCTTAATTGTATATGTTAGGGTTACTTTGGAAACACCTTGCCCTTACTGACCTGACCTGGTGTCTGCTCAGACAAAATGGCTGACAGTTTTGGCCATAGTGGATAACTCACCCCTTTTCTGTAGCTGAGACTCTCACAAGACAGAAATTATTCAGGATCCTCTATCTGACAGCTCAGCCAGGGATAGAACTTCTCCCAGAGAGTTTTGATTAAAAAAGTACCATATTTTCCTAGTTTTACAAGGCTTGCTTACCCTTACAGCTGCTCTCCCCTTGAATGCAGGGGAGGGTGAGCTAGGAGTTGAGCTGCCCAGTCCCCTGGCTGTATCCATGTGACATGCTCTCAGACCAGGCCTCTAGAAACGTTGACATTTTTCTACTAAAAGTGCCTCCTTACTGCCTCCCTCTCAAGGCAATGGTCTTTGAACATTCTTCTCAGCTATGGTAGCACTGTCTTAATACTTTAAAGTATCTGGAAGTGTCCCTTTGAGGTTGGATGTCTTCCCTCCACCTGGCTGACTGGTAAACAGTTCCTTGCCCCAGTGAGAGGCAAAACCATCCTTCTTTTCCTTGCTATTTCACCAGGATGTTTCGGTGTGGCAGGACCACCTGCTTTACATTGATCCATATGTTAACAAACAGATATGAAGAGCTAAGTTAGAATACATGTACAGAACTCGTTACTGGTGTATGACTGACCAGATGGTGGAGATTTTTAATTAACAGTGCACCTGGGAGACCCACTTCCCATTCCCTTTCTCCATCAACGTACTAATAGATATTTTATAGGTAGGGATGATTCTTTCTGGGAAGCACTTCTATCAGCAGAAAAAGCAGACAAGCTTTTTAGGCTTTCTTAAAGGCTGCAACAGAAGCAGTAGACCTGACTTTAAAAAAAAGTCAGAAGTATTATTCTGTGCTCAAGTATAGATATGTATCTGTCAGACTACCTGTGGGAAAACAAAAACCAAACCAAACCAAACCAAAAGGCTTGGCTGATACCCACAGAGCAGAGAGCTGACAAAAAAGAGCACTTCCCCTACAATCTTGTCTTGCTAAAGCAAGGTTGCTTGGTTACAACAACTCGGCAAGGAGAAAGTAGATTTCTATGGCACATTTCTTTTTGCGAAAGGAAGCAGACTGAGGCAAAGAAAACTGCGCTGTCTAAACTGTCTAAAACCGCGCTGTCAGCAGTACAGGAGCCTACCTCTTCTCCTTAACAGACATCACAGACCTCTCCATATAGGGTCTAAAGAATTATGTTGTACTGACTTTGGGATTCACCCCCCTCTCACCTCCCCCACTTTTTAAAAATCACATAGTGCTTTACAGAGGTCAGAATGGTTTCTTTACTGTTTGTCCATTCTACTATTTCAACCCAGAACAATAGCTTGTATAACTGAAATGCTTTTATAACTGAAATATATTTGCTATTGTATATTATGATTGTCCCACAGACCATGAACACTCCTTTAGCTGGATTTCACAGTTCCACCATCATCTGCCAGGCCAGTAAGTTACCCATGGAAGATCTGAGAGATACGTTGCGAGAGCATACCACAAACACATTTGGAATCATAGAACCATAGAATCATAGAATTGTTTAGGTTGGAAAAGACCTTTAAGATCATCAAGTCCAACCGTTAACCTAACACTGCCATCCCACCACTAAACCATGTCCCTAAGCACCTCGTCTACCCGTCTTTTAAATACTTCCAGGGATGGGGACTCGACCACCTCCCTGGGCAGCCCATTCCAGTGCCTGACAACCCCTTCTGTGAAGAAATTTTTCCTAATGTCTAAACTAAACCTGCCCTGGCGCATGGACATGTTGCAGCAACCCAACATCTTTCTCGTAGTGAGGGGCCCAACACTAAACACAGTATTCAAGGTGCGGCCTCACCGGCACCGAGTACAGGGGCATGATCACTTCCCTACTCCTGCTGGCCACACTATTCCTTATAAAAGCCAGGATGCCGTTGGCCTTCTTGGCCACCTGGGCACACTGCTGGCTCATATTCAGCCGGCTGTCGACCAGCACCCCCAGGTCTTTTTCCACTGGGCAGCTCTCCAGCCACTCTCCCCCAAGCCTGTAGTGTTGCATGGGGTTGTTGTGACCAAAGTGCAGGACCCAGCACTTGACCTTGTTGAACCTCATACAGTTGGCCTTGGCCCATCCATCCATCCTGTTCAGGTCCCTCTGCAGAGCCCGCCCACCCAGTCTGGTGTCATCTGCAAACTTACTGAGGGCACACTCAATCCCCTCGTCCAGGTCATCGATAAAGATATTAAACAAGATTGGCCCTAGAACTGAGTCCTGGGGGACACTGCTTGTGACCAGCCGCCAACTACTTTTGACTTTGTCTGGGGCTACATTTCGCTTTTACCCTCTGAGAATCAAGCAGTTTGCTATTAAAACCTTCACACCCATCAAAAGATCTTTTTAAAACATCCCAACTTTTCAAAGAAAATGTGCCTGCTTTTGACTTTCATCTCAGTTGGTTTTCTCACACTCACGCTTTTTTATTTCCCCAGGTTTGTTAACAGAATAACAGGCCAAGTCCTGTTCTCAGCTGTCTTCTCTCTAGCATGGCTCGGCTGCATTTCATACATTCAGAAAGGATCAATTGAAAAAGAGGTCTGGTCTGTTACTAAAACCATAATAACAAATTGACTAATTATTGACAGATTGACTAATAGCTGGTAGTTATGTTTTCCATCTCTAAGGTTTTCACAGTTTTGGGTTTTATCGACATCCCTGTATCTAGTTGCAAATGAGACTTAAAGGTACATGAGCATTATTTCTGAGTCTTTTCTCCAGTCCAACAATCCTGATGTACTGGTGGAAAACACTTTGTTATATGGAATAAAAACCTAATATTTGTTCTCCCTTCAATCAAAAATGGACCCATTGAAACTAAAATCTGACCTAATCCCATTAAATTATTTTTATGGTGTCAAAGGTCAAACTTCTGAAGGGCAGCAGCGGGTGGGTCACAGTTCAGACTGTATAAATTCCCAAGGGCTCAGCCAGTCTGCCTACATACAGCTGGAAAGCTGTATTGCCTTCGGTGCTGAAGCTCGAAAGGTAAGCATTTCTCTTGGAAAATTTACCTTCTCACTATATTATTTCTTGCTTATGCTTAAAGTTAAAAAGAGAGCAATTATTGTGTTGTGCTTGGTATCTTTAAGGAGAGAATACTGAAATGGTATTCTCTACAAACCTTCTCACCTGTGTGTATGGGTTCTACACTATTATATTACATGTAAAACCTATGTATTTGTTTTCAGGAGACTTCTTTAAAGTCTGATCTTTGTGCTTAAAATATTATTTTGTGCTTAGTATATGATTTTATTTCAGAGCAGCTTATCCCCTCATTCAGCATCTTTTAGGTTTGATTTTGGCAGCCAAAGAATAAGTAAGTTTGCTTGATTGACCTCCAGTTCAACAGGCTGCACTGAGAGCGAAACTGTGGCATTCAATGAATTTGCTAGGTTTATTTTAGTGTGAAATTTCTCTAACAGTGCCATCCCTACAGTGAACACTGTATTCCCTGTAGTGAATGCTACACAAGATAAACACGTGTGTGGGTGTACAGACTCATCTTTTTACAATAATCTCTAAATGTGAACTTGTATACAAAAAGGAAAGTGATAGAAATGTGTGTGCAAGCGTTATGTATATACTCACGAGCATGGTCACTAAAAACCTTGGTGGGGTTTAATACTCCAAGGACAAACTTGAGATCCCAGTATTAAGCACCTACATAAAGGGCTGGATTTTGAAAGACAACAAACTTCCACAATTTCTATAAATTACAGGAAAGGAACTAGCTTCATGCTGACCTCAGAAGTTGTGCTTCACATAAGCACAGTGGCTACACAGGACTTATACCATCCAGCACTTTATAGCAGCCTCAGACAGAAACAAATATAAAGCTTTTTCTGGTCTATGCCACAGACAAATACTCATTTAATAGTGCTGTATTATGGTAGACATTGCTATTTTATCATGTCTGCATTTCTATTAAATCTGAATGTCACTAACAAAATTTAATTTCTCAGAAAGGTTGTAGTGTAGTATCTATAAATATATTTAAGCAAATCAAGTTATACATGAAAGCACAATAGGGTGGAATATGAATTTTGTGCATCAGTCTCTCTCCTAGACTAGGTGACCTTAGACAAATTGTATTGCCTATCCATGCTTTTATTACTAAAACAAGGGTAAAGACACAAGCCTTTGAAGATCTACTGACAGTAAGTACTGTGCAACAAATAGATATTTTACTGCACTTATTTATTTTTAGAAAATAAAAATTCATCCAGCCTCTGCTTTTACTTATATCTCTCCAAACCTAGAGCAAGTCTACGAAAACTTGCACATTAAATTGCCAGCTTTGCACGTATATCAAAGACAGATGATATTTTCTTGTTTTCATCAAAGGTACTACAAAGTACCAGGAATTCTAGCCTTCACTGAATGAAAGTAAGTACATGCAATTGTTGCTTGACTGCTTTGAAAAGGTAAACAGAAATCACATACAGATTTAAGACCTCTGAGGAACTTCACTGCCAAAAAGGCAACTGAATAAAAATGCAGAAATAGATTTATGAAAACAAAGTTTCTAACATGCATGAGGTGTGAGCATAGCAATAGGCATGTTATCACAGAATGATATCAAAACTACTTGTTTGTATTTCATTGCCTGAAAACTACTACCAAAGTGCATTGTGCTGTGTTTGTATGGTTTTCCTTCATTACCTTGTCATTGTACTTCTGCTGTTTGCTCTAGGCAATACTGGTTTCACAATGGGCTCCATCGGTGCAGCAAGCGGGGAATTTTGTTTTGATGTATTCAAGGAGCTGAAAGTCCAGCATGTCAATGAGAACATCTTCTACTCCCCCCTGAGCATCATTTCAGCTCTGTCCATGGTCTACCTAGGTGCAAGAGAGAACACCAGGGCTCAGATAGATAAGGTGAGGCTACAGTTAAGGATTTAAACCTTCCTGCTGCTCAACAGAGCCATAGCACTTCTATGATAATGTCCCTTGTGTAACTCACAGGCTAAAGAATCTGGATCCAGAGTTATCAGAAGCTGTGGACACCTCAGACTCCCATAGTGTTAAACAAATGCTTCAGCCAGAAATCTTGAAACTGTATTTAAATTTTAATTTTATCATTGTTAGTGGTAGGATTCTCAAATAGAACAACACATTCCGGTGTTTTTTTGTTTAGACTAAGGAAAGTAGATAAAATCTCCCGGGAAAGAGCCAAAAGACCCAAAAAAGAGTGCAAAGTTTCAGTTCAGCTGAGTTTCCTACAGCTCTCACTTCCTTCACGGAGAGTGAATGGCTTGTTACCTGGAAGAAAGTCAGTATTATTAATAGCACACACTGGAGCCAATTTCTAGATGCTCAACAGAAAAATGGATCATCTAAGCAGGCTAAAGTAGGCACAGCTGTTCACAGATGGTACAGATGGATTGCACCTTTTGAGTCATCCAGCTTCTCAGTTAGCCAATGGGTTTACTTCAAACATCATGTGTTAATCTCAGTTGCGTAACCTTTTTTTTTTTGTCATACCTGCTGTTTCAACTACTGTTATTTGCAATTACAGGTTGTTCACTTTGACAAAATCATAGGATTTGGAGAGAGTATTGAATCTCAGGTACAGAAATAATTTCATCTCCTTCTCTATGTCACTTTCTCCTTGAAGCAAAATCCAGCCCATAAAGTGGTTTCTCAGCAGTTCCAACCCCTCTCTGATGAGCAGTTACTGCTCTACATCCCATCCCCAGTTGGGTGAACACTTTGTTCATAAGGATAGGGAGAGAAGGGAGGCAACAGAGGATTCAGAACAAGCATAAGATGAAACCCAGCACCATAATATTGGGCAAATAGGGAAAATTATAGGTATTTGTATGCTTAAGCAAGGTAGCTGGATGTCAAGGGTTAAATGGGACTGGTTGGGAATGGCCTACCTGATCTGATGGAGTTAGATTACTGTAGTGGGTAATTAAGAGTCCCCCTGAGAGAGGGATGAGGAAACTACAATAGAAAAACAGCACAGAATTGTACATATTAGAAAATTACTACATCAGTGTAGTTATAGCAATGAGACATGAACAACAGTTTTGTAAGCGGAAGCGTCTGAACTACTCTACTCTTGTCATATAGTATGAAAAACCTACTAAGTACTAAAACTAGAATAACATCATCTATCTTTTTATTTGTGTTCATGCCAACGATTCAGTGCGGCACATCTGTAAGCGTCCACACTTCACTTAAAGACATGTTCGCCCAAATCACCAAACCAAGTGACAATTATTCACTCAGCTTTGCCAGTAGACTTTATGCTGAGGAGACATTCCCAATCCTACCGGTGAGTTGCTCTAAGATCTGATCTGGGTGTATTTCTGTCAAAGCTGCACCATTCTGTAGTGCAAAAGCACTGTCAGAAGTCTAGGTTCTGCTAAAGAAATTTTCTTCCACTTAGAAGACAGGATTCATGACTTGTCTCTACCACAGCCCTAACCCTCTAGAGTCTTGAGAAAAACTGTGCCTAGCCAAAAAGATGTTTGTGCAAAGTACAATCATATCCAATAATGTCAAATTAGAATTAATAAAGGTAACTTTTGTTGGAAAGAGTTAACTCCAACTGTTCTCTCAATTTGTAAAACAAACCTGAAAAATAACTTCAGGTTCTCAAAAATATTCCAAGGTTTCCCATTGAAAGGAACATTTAATCTGAAATTAAAGGAAAATACCATTGCAAAATAAAAGGTTAAAAAGTGGGCAAAATGAAAAAAAAAACCCACAACATACTTCAACTGAAATGAATGCCATTTTTGGATCAAACTCAGTTCTGGAAAATATTTTTAAAACGGTGGGCGTTTACTCTTGCTTGAAGCAATGAATGTCAAATCTCAGAACAGTTATGAACTAGAATCATGGCTTACTGATTAGCCTTAATAAGCAGATTCATATCTGTTAATTTCAGTCTTGCATTTCACATTTGCAAAATGCTTTGACATTCTGATCTGAAAACTGCATACTCTTCCTTTGCAGGAATACTTACAGTGTGTGAAGGAACTGTATAAGGGAGGCTTGGAAACTCTCAGCTTTCAAACAGCTGCAGATCAAGCAAGAGAGCTCATCAATTCCTGGGTTGAAAGTCAGACAAATGGTAAGAGCAAGCCAAGTATTGGCACAAGTGCCACCGTGTTTGAACAGCATATGAGAACACGTAAGTCAGGAGACAAAAGACCCCAAACCTCCGTTCCTTCTCCTGGATAATAGATCACTTTCCAGATATGGATCTATCATTTAACAATTTTTTTTTTCCCTCAGACACATCTCATTTAGAGGACTCTCTATATCTGTAGGGGCTTTGAGGGTATGTAATACTTCCAGTCCTGATGAAAGGGACAGCATTAGAATGTGCTTGTACACATTGAGAAGTGGTTTGACACTAATGTTGAGAATCTGGACATCCTGTGATCAGTGAGTTTTGCCCTCAAGCTTCCCAGAGTTGTCGTATGCCTGTCAAGTAGGGCATGCAGTCATAAGGTACTTGAGAACAGGTAAAGGGCAATGGAAAACCACAGTTAATGAATGGTAGGTAGGCGTATGAAACACATAGAGAGAGGTGTACCACAGTTGCGTTTTTTACCCTACTGCATCTCTGTGTGGTTCCTCCATTCTTCCAGTATCTTCCTGGACCGCTCAAAACATTCCCTTCTTGCATGCTTGAAACACATGGCCTGAACAGCAAACACAGGTAAAGGCTGCTGATTTTTAACTGAAATGAAAATACTCACAATCACACGACCTCTGGTGTGGTGTTATACTTTGAAGGTGAAAACCAGGCCATGATTAAGCAACTGGTGGGAAAGGACTAAGGGAAGAGCTTGCTATGTGCGTGACGACTGCCGAATAAGCAAGAACAAAGTATAAGAAGAAAGAGAGTAAAATTCTGGTTTCCTTTCCTGCTACCTTCCTTATATAGACAACTCCTTTCAACTTTGGTTTGAAGCAAGAAGTATTTATGTTTACTTTTTGGGTTGGAGACCATCCTGGGATAGAAGGTTCCAATGGTTCTTCCCGTTGTCACAAAGTATACAGGTTTACTCATTTCGTAACAAGTAAATCTCTGGGTCTTATAACTCATTATAATTCTTTACAGAGTGGGAAACAACAGCTATTGCCAAAAGCAGTGAGAAAATCAACCTCCAAAGTACAAGACTACGGCTGCAAAACCAAAACAATGTTCCTGCCCTACACTCTCCTCCCCAAAGATTCTATACCCTTCATTTAACGTTGTGATTGCCAAGTTAAATGTGTTATACACAGACGTGTTATATACGTGTGTTCTCTTTCTTAAAGGAATGATCAAAGATATCCTTCAACCGGGTTCTGTGGATCCCCAGACTGAAATGGTCCTTGTTAATGCCATTTACTTCAAAGGAGTATGGGAGAAAGCATTTAAGGATGAAGACACCCAGACAGTGCCTTTCAGAATGACTGAGGTACACGGGCATATATAAACTTAAAGGTTTCTTTTAGAATTTATGAGAAGAGTAGACAAGTTGTTATACAACCTTCCTGAACAAGAGTAATCAATAGTTTTAACTGTAAGTAGACATTTCTACACTAAGAATAATATTTGTGAAAACTATATTATCTTGTTTGGTTTTGCAGCAAGAAAGTAAACCTGTGCAGATGATGTATCAGATTGGTTCATTTAAAGTGGCAGTGGTGGCTGCAGAGAAAATCAAGATCCTGGAGCTTCCGTACGCCAGCGGAGCGCTGAGCATGTTGGTGCTGTTGCCTGATGATGTCTCTAGCCTGGAGCAGGTATGGCCCTGGCAGCTGGGTTTCAGAAAACCACCAACACAGTGAAATTTAAGTGCTGCAAAGCCCTTCACAGTAAAGTTATCCTAAAACTCTTCACCAAGCACAGATCTGAACACTGACAACATGAGATTGCTGCATAACAGCATGCAGCTGTCTCAGTAGTCCTGCAATAGTTTGTGCTGAGCATGGACTGCTTAAAGAACTGCTTTAGTGGGTTAAATATTCATCACTGCAGAACAGATCCATCTCAGCTAAGCAGCTGTTACTCCAGCAGCTTGAACTCCAAAGGTTTTATATCTCCATTCCTGCACACTGAGGAGCTTCCTGGGAAGTTCATGTTAGCTTTACTAGTTGTAATTATTGTTTGGTTTGGTGGTGCTCAACATGCTTCCTTCATAACTTCAAAAATCAAACTATCTAAAAACTGAATATGAGAGGTACTAGAATGGTTAAAGCAATTTCAGAAAATAAAATGTACATGACATACTATCGTTGATATGAATTGTCATTAGCAGGACTGTAGTTAGTTTGAATAGAAAAAGTTCTGTAATAAATGAGAGTTCATTGAAGTATTTGTACACTAACTCAAAGAATCTAAATTATAAAAATGAAGAGGCATTTGAACACAGCTAAGTTTCCTCAGTAATAACTGAGAGTTCAGACATTAGTAATTGGTTACCACTGACACCTGGTTACTTGGAGGTCTTAAATGTAGGTAGAGCTTACAACTCAAAAGCACAGCATGATTTTTGGAATATATTTCCCAAGCAAAGAAGATAGAAAAGAGCTTTAGGTGAAATTTGTGATTCTGTGTGAAATTTGCTGAGTAGCTGTCTCATTAAGAAAATTAATTGGAAGCGAGTCTGTTAAAGAAATAGAAAGCAGGACAGAGCAGAGAAGAAAGAGTCATAGTTTGCTTTCCTCTCCTAGATACATTAATCTGTATATACCTAGAAAAAATGCAGTTCCAAGAGCAGTGAGTTTAAAGGAGAAAAAAAACCACCACTGGTATTGCATTGCCACATAGGAAGTTGTGCTCTCTGCTCAGAGATCTCATTTGCTTGTCTCCTTGCAGCTTGAGACTGCAATCACCTTTGAAAAGCTCACAGAGTGGACCAGTTCTAATATCATGGAAGAGAGGAAAATTAAAGTATACCTCCCGCGCATGAAGATTGAGGAAAAATATAATCTCACATCTGTCTTAATGGACTTGGGTATAACTGACCTGTTCAGCTCATCAGCCAATCTGTCTGGCATCTCTTCAGCAGAGAGCCTGAAGGTGTCTGAAGCCATCCATGAGGCAATTGTGGATATCTATGAAGCAGGCAGCGAGGTGGTAGGCTCATCAGGAGCTGGGCTAGAGGGTACAAGTGTCTCTGAAGAGTTTAGGGCTGACCACCCTTTCCTCTTCTTGATCAAGCACAACCCAACCAGCAGCATCCTCTTCTTTGGCAGATGCTTTTCCCCTTAAAGAGAAGGAAGCAGAAAGAATTTCTGTCCCTCACGGCAAGACCCAAAGCACTGCAGTATCAAGGGTAGAAAGAAAGGGTAGAAAGAAATGCATACTCTCTCTTTCATCCATATTTTCTAAAACCAGAAGGTTTTATTTAAAAAAAAAAAAAGTTAAGTCAGAGAATTTATGCCATGAAAATAGAGGCCCTTTGCCTTTCCTTTCTGCAGAGTAATATCATTTACTGACATATGAAGAGTTAAGGGAATGAAAATTGGACCCAAAGAAAGCATGAGCATGAACAGAGATGTTCCTGGTGCAAGTTAACAATAGCAGTGCTGAATCATCACACCAAAAAACCACAACCCCATTTATCAGCATCATTTTTATGGAAAAAAATGCAGTCTTCTAATTAAGCCAGGTTTCTCTATGGCCAAGCTTAATGGTGACTCCTCTGAAATTAGTCACTTGAAAGCTCCCAGATTAAACTCTAAACTGTCACCAACCATTCCTACTCTGACATGGCAATTGCTTTTTCTTTCTGCTCCTGATACTGCACAAGTCTTCCTCACTTTCTGAAGATGCATTATCAAAATCTTATAATTCATATTTGTCCTTAAACCTTTTTGGCTCAATTGTCATGACCAAACATGGCATTTTACTATTCAAATTGTTTTCCATGTATCCATGTGTAATGGGTCTTGTGGATGAACTCTTTTGCTCCTTTAATCATAATAAAAACATGTTTAAGCAAATGCATTTCATTTGGAGTACTTCAAGTGCACCTGGAATGGGGTAATCCTGGTTATACATACAAATTGGGGGAACAAGAGGCTGGAGAGCAGCCCCACAGAAAGAGATCTGGGGGTCTGGGTCGATGGCAAGTTGAATATGAGTCAACAGCATGCCCTGGCAGACAAAAGGGCCAACCCTGTCCTGGGGCACATTGAGCACAGCATAGGTAGCCGGTCAAGGGAGGTGATTGTCCCACTCTACATTGCACTGGTGTAGCCCCACCTCGACTACTGTGTGCAGGTTTGGGCACCGCAATATAAGAAGAGCATCAAACTATGAGAGTGTGTCCAGAGGTGGGCAACCAAGATGGTGAAAGGCCTGAAGGGCAAGACTTACAAGGAGTGGCTGGGGTCACCTGATTTGTTCAGCTTGGAGAAGGGGTGACCTCCTTGCACTCTAGAGCTTCCTCAAGGGGAGCAGCGGAGGGAGGTGCTGATCTCCTCTTTCTGGTGACCAGCGACAGGACACAAGGAAATGGAATGAAGCTGCATCAGGGGAAGTTCAGACCGGACATTAGGAACAGGTTCTTCACTGAGAGGGTGGTTGGTCACTGGAACGGGCTCCCCAGGGAAGTGTCTATCCTGTCACCTATCCTGTCAGAGTTCAAGGAGCATCTGGACCCCGCTCTTAGTCATCGTTTAGTTTTAGGTAGTCCTGCAAGGAGCAGGGAGTTGGACTCGATGATCCTTACAGGTCCCTTCCAACTTGAGATATTCTGTGTTTCTATGATTCTTTTATCAGAGCTGGTTCATTGCTTGCAGAGATATGAGAAACGAGAGTCTGTCTCTTGCCAAAGATACAATATTGAGTCCAATCTTCTTCCAGGAAGGGACCAGCATGACCCATAATCCCTCATGCATGCAACTCAAACTAGTCAGATACAACACTTTCAGCACTAATCATGATCCATCCAGTCTCTCAGGAGTTGATAAGCAGTTTGGAAGGCAGCTGGATACGTGCAGAATCTACATCCCACTGAGACACAACACTGCCTTGGAGAACACATGGGAATGGGAAATGGGCAGGAGTTCTCTAGTTATCTTTGTTGTGTGTTTATAAAGCTTTATAGGCTCTTATTTTGTTACTAAAGAGAATAATCATGCTAAGAGAAGCAATGTCTATGGCAAGTTATAGTTTCTCTCTGGAATGAATTATTCTTCCCTTTGTCCCTGAAGCAAGAAAGGAAACAGGCCTGTGAGAATCTGTCACAGAGAAGTACCAGAAGAGTGAGAGAGAAAGGTTTTGGGCAGTGAGGTTACTGCAAGAAAGTTATGCTCTTTCCTGACTCCAGTATGCACAGCATGGCACCAGTGCTGGGTGGTCGGTGGCTGAATGTTTTTTCAGTTCCACTACACAGTATTTTGCTTGTTCTACTTGTTTTGGCTTCTCCCCCCACCACCCAAGATACTACATACTTTGGCAGAACCTAGGGGGCATAGCTTGCTGGTAGCAAACATGGTCTCACAAAAGAAGGAAGATAACATGACACCACCTTCACTGGTGTATAAATAGTTCAAATGTTTTCCTTCACTTTCCTGTATCTTAGTTGACTGCTGCTCAGGAGATAACAAACAGGGAAATGTATTGCAAGAGAGCTAACAGCGTGTTTACTATTGTCCTGGAGTTTCTGTTTATCTGGTCATGGAACTAGGGCACCTAAAATCCTCAGCAGATTTGTTCTAAAACTGCACTGTTTCTAGGCCACGGTAGTTGTTAACAATTAAAACATACTTCTGTTACATAAGAATGTAAGCAATATTGCTCATGTGAACAAAGGCAGTTATTTGCAAAAATTGGTCTCCTGAAGTTCACAGAGCTAGAGAGTAATATGTGTTGGAATGGGCAGCTGACAGTCATCTTCTGGTCCTAACTTCAAAGATATACAAGATTGCTCAGGGTCCTTCCCTGTCAAATGTTGCACATCTTTAAAGTTGAAGAATCCACAATGTTCTCATTAATCTTGTTTTAAACATAAATCCAAGTCTCACCAATGTAGACGTAGTGTAAGCCAGTCAGCCAGCTGAGCTTCTCTCACCAAATGAGAGTTGGCCACACGTGACAATGAGCCCCACCAGTTCCTTCATTTTGATTCTCCCATGGTCAGCCTACAAAGCTTTCACTGTCTTTCCTCACTTTTAACCCCCTTGGAACCAAAGCCTACGGAATATTTCTGTAAATCCCAAACAGTGCTTAACCACCCTGCGAACAGCAAATGCCTAGGATGGTAAACAATGCTTAGGAGCAAAGGTAAGATAATACTACCCATTTTTAGTCCCAGTAGCATAATTTATACTTTGTCTCCATGTTATTATATGTGGATATCAATGGTCTATCATTTGCACCTGGCCTCCCTTTCTTCGCTATTATATTCTTAAACATCACAAGATAAAGACTTTTATACCATGTAGTCTGTCTTGTGACATGAGCAAACGCTCACAATTGTATGCTACTCCTGGGAAAAAAAGATCCCAAACTGATTCTGAGCTTTTATTTTTTCAACTCATACAGCACTTTCCCACTTTTTCTAAACATTAGCAATAGCAACCTGCAGTCTAAAATCAATGCAGGCAAACAATGAACTTACATTAGTGGCACCTTAGGGACAACAAGAACAGGATCCTGGAGGTTAGAAAATCCTTACAGTGGGAGGCTGACTTCTTAGTGACACAGGTAAAATTTCAGTGTTGTGGCTCTGATAAGAAGTCAGTATGGAAAGGGAGAATAGTGAGGGGTCAGATGAGTTCCTGCAAAGAAGGCAGAGATACACTGTCGTTTAACCCGGTAGGGAGCTAAACACCATGCAGCTGTTTGCTCACTCCCCCGCAATGGGATGGGGGAGAGAATCAGAAAAAAGGTAAAACTCGTGGGCTGAGAAAAAGACAACTTCATAGGACAGAAAAGGAAGGGAAAACATTAATAATGAAAAAAAAAAATATACAAACCAAGTGATGCACAATGCCCTGTAGGGGTGGTTACAGCAATGGAAGCAGAGGGACTGGCAGCACAGAGGCAAACCCATCTGGGCTGCCGCACTGTGGCAAGATACTGCTGCCCAGATAGAGAACCTGGCTGTAAAAGTACATCAGACAGGTGCTCATGTACCCGAGTCAGGCCACTGAAGAATATCAAAACAACCAGAAGGTGGATCAGGCTGCTGAGACTGAAATGGCTGAGGTGGATCTGGACTGGCAACAGAAGGGTGAATTATTTATAGCTTGGTGGGCCCATGATACCTCAGGCCATCAAGGAAGAGATGTAACTTATAGATGGGCTCATGATCAAGGGGTGGACTTGACCATGGACACTATTGCACAGGTTATCCATGAATGTGAAACATGTGCTGCAATCAAGCAAGACAAGTGGTTGAAGCCTCTCTGGAATGGAGGATGATGGCTGAAATATAAATATGGGGAAGCCTGGCAGATTCATTATATCACACTCCCATAAGCAGCTGAAAGGGACGATCGCACTAGTTTTAAACCACACAAAGACAGTTCTGCTTTTGGCTTTGAAAGAGCTAAAAGAGCCACAAATACCAGCCCAAAAGATAACGGAGCCATGAAGATCTGCATACAGCTGAATCACAACTGGAAAGGGCAGCTTCTCCCATGTCAGCCTACAAAGCTTTCACTGTCTTTCCTCACTTTTAACCCCCTTGGAACCAAAGCCTACGGAATATTTCTGTAAATCCCAAACAGTGCTTAACCACCCTGCGAACAGCAAATGCCTAGGATGGTAAACAATGCTTAGGAGCAAAGGTAAGATAATACTACCCATTTTTAGTCCCAGTAGCATAATTTATACTTTGTCTCCATGTTATTATATGTGGATATCAATGGTCTATCATTTGCACCTGGCCTCCCTTTCTTCGCTATTATATTCTTAAACATCACAAGATAAAGACTTTTATACCATGTAGTCTGTCTTGTGACATGAGCAAACGCTCACAATTGTATGCTACTCCTGGGAAAAAAAGATCCCAAACTGATTCTGAGCTTTTATTTTTTCAACTCATACAGCACTTTCCCACTTTTTCTAAACATTAGCAATAGCAACCTGCAGTCT